GTCTATAGTCTAGTCTATAGTCTAGTCTATAGTCTAGTCTATAGTCTAGTCTATAGTCTAGTCTATAGTCTAGTCTATAGTCTAGTCTATAGTCTAGTCTATAGTCTAGTCTATAGTCTAGTCTATAGTCTAGTCTATAGTCTAGTCTATAGTCTAGTCTATAGTCTAGTCTATAGTCTAGTCTATAGTCTAGTCTATAGTCTAGTCTATAGTCTAGTCTATAGTCTAGTCTATAGTCTAGTCTATAGTCTAGTCTATAGTCTAGTCTATAGTCTAGTCTATAGTCTAGTCTATAGTCTAGTCTATAGTCTAGTCTATAGTCTAGTCTATAGTCTAGTCTATAGTCTAGTCTATAGTCTAGTCTATAGTCTAGTCTATAGTCTAGTCTATAGTCTAGTCTATAGTCTAGTCTATAGTCTAGTCTATAGTCTAGTCTATAGTCTAGTCTATAGTCTAGTCTATAGTCTAGTCTATAGTCTAGTCTATAGTCTAGTCTATAGTCTAGTCTATAGTCTAGTCTATAGTCTAGTCTATAGTCTAGTCTATAGTCTAGTCTATAGTCTATTATGTCTAGTCTATAGTCTAGTCTATAGTCTACGTCTATAGTCTAGTCTATAGTCTAGTCTATAGTCTAGTCTATAGTCTAGTCTAGGTCTAGTCTATAGTCTAGTCTATAGTCTAGTCTATAGTCTAGTCTATAGTCTAGTCTATAGTCTAGTCTATAGTCTAGTCTATAGTCTAGTCTATAGTCTAGTCTATAGTCTAGTCTATAGTCTAGGTCTATAGTCTAGTCTATAGTCTAGTCTATAGTCTAGTCTATAGTCTAGTCTATAGTCTAGTCTATAGTCTAGTCTATAGTCTAGTCTATAGTCTAGTCTATAGTCTAGTCTATAGTCTAGTCTATAGTCTAGTCTATAGTCTAGTCTATAGTCTAGTCTATAGTCTAGTCTATAGTCTAGTCTATAGTCTAGTCTATAGTCTAGTCTATAGTCTAGTCTATAGTCTAGTCTATAGTCTAGTCTATAGTCTAGTCTATAGTCTAGTCTATAGTCTAGTCTAGTCTAGTCTATAGTCTAGTCTATAGTCTAGTCTATAGTCTAGTCTATAGTCTAGTCTATAGTCTAGTCTATAGTCTAGTCTATAGTCTAGTCTATAGTCTAGTCTATAGTCTAGTCTATAGTCTAGTCTATAGTCTAGTCTATAGTCTAGTCTATAGTCTAGTCTATAGTCTAGTCTATAGTCTAGTCTATAGTCTAGTCTATAGTCTAGTCTATAGTCTAGTCTATAGTCTAGTCTATAGTCTAGTCTAGTCTAGTCTATAGTCTAGTCTATAGTCTAGTCTATAGTCTAGTCTATAGTCTAGTCTATAGTCTAGTCTATAGTCTAGTCTATAGTCTAGTCTATAGTCTAGTCTATAGTCTAGTCTATAGTCTAGTCTATAGTCTAGTCTATAGTCTAGTCTATAGTCTAGTCTATAGTCTAGTCTATAGTCTAGTCTATAGTCTAGTCTATAGTCTGTCTATAGTCTAGTCTATAGTCTAGTCTATAGTCTAGTCTATAGTCTAGTCTATAGTCTAGTCTATAGTCTAGTCTATAGTCTAGTCTATAGTCTAGTCTATAGTCTAGTCTATAGTCTAGTCTATAGTCTAGTCTATAGTCTAGTCTATAGTCTAGTCTAGTCTAGTCTATAGTCTAGTCTATAGTCTAGTCTATAGTCTAGTCTATAGTCTAGTCTATAGTCTAGTCTATAGTCTAGTCTATAGTCTAGTCTATAGTCTAGTCTATAGTCTAGTCTATAGTCTAGTCTATAGTCTAGTCTATAGTCTAGTCTATAGTCTAGTCTATAGTCTAGTCTATAGTCTAGTCTATAGTCTAGTCTATAGTCTAGTCTATAGTCTAGTCTATAGTCTAGTCTATAGCTTAGTCTATAGTCTAGTCTATAGTCTAGTCTATAGTTCTAGTCTATAGTCTAGTCTATAGTCTAGTCTATAGTCTAGTCTATAGTCTAGTCTATAGTCTAGTCTATAGTCTAGTCTATAGTCTAGTCTATAGTCTAGTCTATAGTCTAGTCTATAGTCTAGTCTATAGTCTAGTCTATAGTCTAGTTATAGTCTAGTCTATAGTCTAGTCTATAGTCTAGTTAGTCTAGCCTATAGTCTAGTTTATAGTCTAGGTCTATAGTCTAGTCTATAGTCTAGCCTATAGTCTAGTCTATAGTCTAGTCTATAGTCTAGTCTATAGTCTAGTCTATAGTCTAGTCTATAGTCTAGTCTATAGTCTTGTCTATAGTCTAATCTGTATTCTTCTTTTGAATTTTTTTCGTTACAAATGGAATGCCAAACTCCTTTGCCCTTATCGCTGTGGCATAGCGTATACAAAAATGTTAAAATTCTATTTTTTCACCAAATGTTAAAATGTTTGACTGTGTTGGTATTTATTTCAGTCTAGTCTATAGTCTAGTCTATAGTCTAGTCTATAGTCTAGTCTATAGTCTAGTCTATAGTCTAGTCTATAGTCTAGTCTATAGTCTAGTCTATAGTCTAGTCTATAGTCTAGTCTATAGTCTAGTCTATAGTCTAGTCTATAGTCTAGTCTATAGTCTAGTCTATAGTCTAGTCTATAGTCTAGTCTATAGTCTAGTCTATAGTCTAGTCTATAGTCTAGTCTATAGTCTAGTCTATAGTCTAGTCTATAGTCTAGTCTATAGTCTAGTCTATAGTCTAGTCTATAGTCTAGTCTATAGTCTAGTCTATAGTCTAGTCTATAGTCTAGTCTATAGTCTAGTCTATAGTCTAGTCTAGTCTAGTCTATAGTCTAGCCTATAGTCTAGTTTATAGTCTAGTCTATAGTCTAGTCTATAGTCTAGCCTATAGTCTAGTCTATAGTCTAGTCTATAGTCTATAGTCTAGTCTATAGTCTAGTCTATAGTCTAGTCTATAGTCTTGTCTATAGTCTAATCTGTATTCTTCTTTTGAATTTTTTTCGTTACAAATGGAATGCCAAACTCCTTTGCCCTTATCGCTGTGGCATAGCGTATACAAAAATGTTAAAATTCTATTTTTTCACCAAATGTTAAAATGTTTGACTGTGTTGGTATTTATTTCAGTGAAATTAATATACGAACAATTAAACACAACAAAAAATTACAATTTGTTGTAGAAAAAAAAAATAAACAATAATAAACATCAACAAATTTAACTTTTTTATGCAATTGTTAAAGGCCAAATAAAATGTGAGAACATAGTTCAAGGCTAAAGACGTTTATGATGAAACACTAAACAATATTTTTTTACGCAAAAAAATAATATACATATGTATAATATCTTTACAAAATAAATATTGTTTAGTGAAAGTGTTTACACTGCCTAAACATATGTATTATATATGACTTAATTATTACTTTTTAAGAGTTTAGTTTTCGTTGCAAGTGTAAGCGTTTCTAGTGTAAACGAAATGTATTGTTTTGTAAACTTTTTGGCTTTTCTGCCAAAACATTTTTGTGTTATTCTGGGTGGGCGTTTGCCAGTTGCCAAACACCCACTCCATTGCTTTCTTACAAGAAAGCAAGTACAAGTAAAATATGTTTATAAATCTAATATTACTCAATCAAAAACAGCCTTACTGTTTTGTTTAGAAATTAAATTTTAACAAAATTCTTTTTAATTCAGCATTCAAAACAACTCACAGATTTTGTTATTTCTATGACACAACTATAATTATAAATTAAAATCGTAGATTATTTTTATTTTTAAAAATATTTCGTAAATTTTATAGTTTTAATTTCTATTAAAAAATTACATCATATTACTTTAGTAATTAAAGGTTTGCTGAATTTTAAACAAAATAAAAATCATAGAAATATATTTTGGAAATAGTTTCGGTTCATTTTGTTAGTGCTAAGACGGAAACAATAAGTAAGTGGGAAACCGATATTTTGAACAGCCCTGCGACTAACGTATACTTAATATTTAATTAATTTCATTGTATAAATATTACTCATACGCACCGAATAGAACAAATTAAGTTCCTAATCCTTCGTTTAAATTGAATTAGTTTTTAAAGAATTATCAAAACAGAAGTTTTTCAAAAACTTTAAATAACATAGGTTAATATGAAATTTTTCTATAAAAAAGTATTTTCAGAAAATTTTTTTATAAAAATGAAATTCTCCGTTTCTATAAAAAATATAATTTACCGAGTAAAAGAGAAATTTTCCGAAAATTTGTTTATAAAAGTATAAATATTTAAACAAAATTTTCTATAAAAATTAGAAAATTTTCTATAAAAAATTAAAAAATTTTTCGAAAAATTTTCTATAAAAAATTAGAAAATTTCCGAAAAATCTTCTAAAAAAATTTCTATAAAAAATTAGAAATTTTCCGAAAAATTTTCTATAAAAAATTAGAAATTTTCCGAAAAATTTTCTATAAAAAATTAGAAATTTTCCGAAAAATTTTCTATAAAAAATTAGAAATTTTCCGAAAATTTTCTATTAAAAATTAGAAATTTTCCGAAATAATTTCTATAAAAATTAGAAAATTTTTGAAAAATTGTCTATAAAAATTAGAAATTTTCCGAAAAAATTTTTATAAAAATTAGAAATTTTCCGAAAAATTTTCTATAAAAATTGGTAACTCTCCGAGTTTTTCAAAACTTTCTATAAAAATTAGAAATTTTCCCCGAAAATTTTTCTACAAAAATTAAAATTTTTTTTAAAAATGTTCAATAACAAAAGAAAATTTTCGAAAATTTTTCAAATTGAAAGTTTCTATAAACATTAAAAAATTTCCGAAAAATTTTCTTTCAAAATCAAAAATTTTTTGAAAATTTTCTATAATAAGTATAAATTTTCCTAAAATTTCCTATAATAATAGAAATTTCCTAAAATTCTCTAAAAAAACAGAAAGACATTTTTTATAAAAGATAAATTTTATGAATTTTTTTAAAGAAAACAGATAATTTTTCCGAATTTTTTTATAAAAATAGAAGCCTACGTACAATTTGTAAATTAAAATACATTTTATTTGAAAATTTTGATTTTTAGGATGGTTAAATAACAGACGTATACTTTATATTTAATTTTTGTGAAATAATATTGCTCATACGCACCAATAAGTATTCTGTTAGAAAAATATGGTCATTGTGATGATTTCAAGTTGTTTAAGCGATAAGACCGAAAACCATATCATCATCTTTATATTCGGATTCTTCCTTCTTGTGTCTTGGCTTTTTTCCTCCATAGTTTTATTCCTATTATATTTTCATAAATGAATAATTAATAAAGTTCTCTTTTACCAATTTTTATGATTTCTTTATATTTACTTGATTGAGTTCTTTCTTTCAATCATTTCCGTTATATTTAAAATTGAATTTTAAATTTGATTAGAGACTGCATTACAAACATTTTTGCAATAACAATTAAACAATTTTTAGTGAATTTTCCTTTTTCCTGATTAAATGATCTTGATCCAGAATATCCAGGATAAGGTCCCATAGAATAGTCAAAATATCCATAATCGCCCTCATCTATGGGAATATCCTCTTCGCCACTGGTGGGCGGTTGGCCATCATGTGTTTCATCTGTCTCTCCCGTGCCAGAGTCTGAAGTAGTTTCTTCGGAATCTTCTGGTTTTTCTCCGGAGTCTGCATCTTCAGCTCCAGTTACAGTTTCTTCTGCCGCTTCTGTAGTACCTTCCACATCTGATGTTTCTGACTCATCATCAGCTAATATGTATGGCAGGATAATTAACACAAATATAAGAAATTTCATTTTAAATATTAAATAAAATTAAAAACAAACTTCAAACAATTAACAGCTGTATGTGTTTTTTTACACAATAAGAAATAACTTTTTCCACAACCCAAAATTTTCATTTAAAATTAATCAATTATAAAGTTTCTAATGTAGTTTAACATTCATTTATTTAAGAATTATTATTATTGATTTATTTATGTTTTCGAAATCTATTAAAATCTGTTGTTATTTAGTTTCCTTAAGGTCAATTAACTACAATTTGAAATACATAAAAACTAATTCCAACTGACAGTATTTCAACAGCAGACTTGCTTATGTGTTTGGCAGCCAACTAAAGGCAAATCAGTAATTTCTATTTATACATTTTAAAGACACCCTTCAATAATAAAGCGATGATAGCCCCTTCCTTCATTAAATAGGAATTGGTTTTGACATCATTGTCTAAAATTTGTCAGTTAGGACCTATCAGCTTATCATCATGTCAAATAAAGATATATTTGACATTTACAGGTTACACAGGTTTTCCATAAAAATTTTAGTTTAATTATCTTTAATCAGTTTTAATTTAAATAAATTGTTTCCCTTAAAATCTAAACCCTTTTATACCAAAACCAAAATCTCATTATCACTTCCTTGGTTTTCTTGTGACCCTCATTTACTTTTAAAATCGTACTTCTGTTTTCATTAATTAATCTATTAAATTGTTTTGCATTTTGCTGACATCAAAATTTAAATGATGGCATAAACATAAATTAATACACACAGATGGTTTTCATTTCTTTAATGATTGTCATTAAATTAAAAACATTAAATATAAATACGGGTATCAACCCGTAATTTATAATATTAATGATAATAAAAAACGAGACAAAATTGAAGATATATTCAAAATTTATTGTTTTTATTTTTGCAAAATTACTTATATATGAAAAGAGATGCATGCTTTTGGGAGCAAGATAGAGTGAGAAAATGGTTTCGAATAATTTGTTGTGGAATAATGAATGAAATTTGTATGTAATTTTCTTAATAAAAATGGTTTAACTCATACATAAATTCTATTTTAATATTATACACGCTCTTATAAATAACAAATAGATAATATACAGAAGGACGGAGAATTTTTTGAAAAATTTTCTATAAAATAAAAATTGTCTTTAAAAAAATTTCGCTGGAAATTTCTTATAAAAAGAGAAACGTCTCAAAATTTTTTCTATAACAAGAAATTTCTATAAAATTGTTTATAAAAAAAATAAATTTCTCGAACTTTTTCTATGAAGCATTTTACAGCTTGCCCTCGTACGCTCTCACATTTACATATTTTCCTGTTATAAACTTTTACAATTTTGCACACACAAATACCAAAATGTTGTTGCATATGAATAGTGGTTTTTATAAAGTTTTTTCTGTTTTTTTTTTTTTTTTTGTCTGCGTGTGTGGAAATTGTTGTGGTACCTTAGTCACGCTGCTGCTCGTTAATTTGTCTACACGCAAGTTACAGTGGGATTTTTGACATATTTGCAAATATTTTATTTACAAACATATATAGGTGCTTTTCTTTTACGTTATGCCTTTTACTCTAACCACTGTGTCAAAAGTTTTAAGTTAGAAACTTCTCAACATACATGTAAACTTACTTATCATTCAAAGCAGGTTTAAGCTTTTAAATATCAAAAGATGTCAACGCAACAACAATAAAATGTAAAGATATGCGTTGTGACTTTTCCATGGGGTTTTCAAAATGTTGAAAAGAGTTCAAGTTTATAGTCTTCCTAACGCCATCCTTCAGAAGAATATTAAAGACAAATTAAAAAAAAAAAAAAAACAGACGTGTGAAAATGAATGACAAGCAAGAACAACTAAAGCGGTTTTGAACATAAAAAGTGTTGCATCTACAGAAACGATGTGTGAAATGTAGTGTTGAGAAAGATAATTTGTAATCGGTAACCGGTTATTAAAAATTTTGTAATAATGTATGACATATGACATAAAATATAACTGAACTAGAACATAACCAGAACTGATCTAGTTATGAACTAGAACTGATCTAGTTATGAACTAGAACTGAACTAGAACTGAACTAGAACTGAACTAGAACTGAACTAGAACTGAACTAGAACTGAACTAGAACTGAACTAGAACTGAACTAGAACTGAACTAGAACTGAACTAGAACTGAACTAGAACTGAACTAGAACTGAACTAGAACTGAACTAGAACTGAACTAGAACTGAAACTAGAACTGAACTAGAACTGAACTAGAACTGAACTAGAACTGAACTAGAACTGAACTAGAACTGAACTAGAACTGAACTAGAACTGAACTAGAACTGAACTAGAACTGAACTAGAACTGAACTAGAACTGAACTAGAACTGAACTAGAACTGAACTAGAACTGAACTAGAACTGAACTAGAACTGAACTAGAACTGAACTAGAACTGAACTAGAACTGAACTAGAACTGAACTAGAACTGAACTAGAACTGAACTAGAACTGAACTAGAACTGAACTAGACTGAACTAGAACTGAACTAGAACTGAACTAGAACTGAACTAGAACTGAACTAGAACTGAACTAGAACTGAACTAGAACTGAACTAGAACTGAACTAGAACTGAACTAGAACTGAACTAGAACTGAACTAGAAACTAGAACTGAACTAGAACTGAACTAGAACTGGACTAGAGAAAGAACTGAACTAGAACTGAACTAGAACTGAACTAGAACTGAACTAGAACTGAACTAAAGAACTAGAACTGAATTAGAACTGAACTAGAACTGAACTAGAACTGAACTAGAACTGAACTAGAACTGTACTAGAACTGAACTAGAACTAAACTAGAACTGAACTAGGACAGAACTAGAACTGAACTAGAACTGAACTAGAACTGAACTAGAACTGAACTAGAACTGAACTAGAACTGAACTAGAACTGAACTAGAACTGAACTAGAACTGAACTAGAACTGAACTAGAACTGAACTAGAACTGAACTAGAACTGAACTAGAACTGAACTAGAACTGAACTAGAACTGAACTAGAACTGAACTAGAACTGAACTAGAACTGAACTAGAACTGAATTAGAACTGAACTAGAACTGAACTAGAACTGAACTAGAACTGAACTAGAACTGAACTAGAACTGAACTAGAACTGAACTAGAACTGAACTAGAACTGAACTAGAACTGAACTAGAACTGAACTAGAACTGAACTAGAACTGAACTAGAACTGAACTAGAACTGAACTAGAACTGAACTAGAACTGAACTAGAAACTGAACTAGAACTGAACTAGAACTGAACTAGAACTGAACTAGAACTGAACTAGAACTGAACTAGAACTGAACTAGAACTGAACTAGAACTGAACTAGAACTGAACTAGAACTGAACTAGAACTGAACTAGAACTGAACTAGAACTGAACTAGAACTGAACTAGAACTGAACTAGAACTGAACTAGAACTGAACTAGAACTGACTAGAACTGAACTAGAACTGAACTAGAACTGAACTAGAACTGAACTAGAACTGAACTAGAACTGAACTAGAACTGAACTAGAACTGAACTAGAACTGAACTAGAACTGAACTAGAACTGAATTAGAACTGAACTAGAACTGAACTAGAACTGAACTAGAACTGACTAGAACTGAACTAGAACTAAACTAGAACTGAACTAGGACAGAACTAGAACTGAACTTTGACTGAACTAGAACTTTTATTAAACACGGTTACTTTAATATATAGTATACTCTAATATATTTTATACCCTTATCTCTCCTGGCTTAAACTTTCATCATCATCGTCACTCACTGCTACTGTTCATCGCCACAATTCATAAAAATACCACTTCATACAAATGAGTTGTGATTGTGAAAATGTGTGTGTCTTCTCATCGTATCCAGGCAGTTTTGACAAGAGTCAATGTATGTATCACTTTTAAACAGTATTTTACCTAGATATATAAATACTCGTTTTACTTGAACCTTTATGCGATTGAAATGAATCTACGTTTATTAAAGTTAGATTTTTACTCTGAAATCAAGAAAACCCATTAGTTCGGGACTGCAGGAATATGCAGTTATATGCTTAAATGTACATATACATTTGTATGGGTTCCAAGAACAACAAAAAAACTGAAAGCACACAAAAAAGTCCAAATAAAAACAAACACATCATGTACATAGAAACCTTCTCATAGGAATACGTACACGCTGACAAGGTAAAAATATTAATGACAAACGCTTTAAATACTTTACGCAGATTTTATTCCATTTCTTGGCTCGAGCACACACAAACAGATTTTTCACTTTTCCACATTTGCCTCAAGATAACCTCACCTACACACACTCACTTATTTAATCGTTGCCTTCTCCACTGATGAGTTTTTCATTTTGGTAAGGTGTTGTTGTTTCTGTTTTTGTGGCAAAAATTTAATTTACGCAACAAAGGAATTTTTCACTAAAACGCATTGCGTTCAGGGCCAAAAACCGAATCGTCTAAAATAAAAGCAATAACGACTGACTTTTTCACCGCACATTTGTTGAAAAAAATTAAGGTTTTTTTAATGTTTTATATATTTTTGTTTGTTTGCATAATTTACACATAAACACAATTTGCACATATTGCTGGTTTGTGGCCTTCCTTGTAAAAATATTGCGTGAGTAGAATAGTATGGCTAAGTTGGTGCTTTATTGTTAGTTTGCTTTATTGTTAGTTAGTTAAGTTAGTTAGTTAGTTAGTTAGTTAGTTAGTTAGTTAGTTAGTTAGTAGTTAGTTAGTTAGTTAGTAGTTAGTTAGTTAGTTAGTTAGTTAGTTAGTTAGTTAGTTAGTTAGTTAGTTAGTAGTTAGTTAGTTAGTTAGTTAGTTAGTTAGTTAGGTAGTTAGTTAGTTAGTTAGTTAGTTAGTAGTTAGTTAGTTAGTTAGTTAGTTAGTTAGTTAGTTAGTTAGTTAGTTAGTTAGTTAGTTAGTTAGTAGTTAGTTAGTTGTTAGTTAGTTAGTAGTTAGTTAGTTAGTTAGTAGTTTAGTTAGTTAGTTAGTTAGTTAGTTAGTTAGTAGTTAGTTAGTTAGTT